CACCAAGTTCAAAGTCAATTACACCTGACTGAAAGAAATCTGTGCTTTTTTTTTGTCTGGACTAAAAATGACACTCTGGTTCTGTATATCAAGAAAGATCCAGAATGGGCTGGCAAACTTTTGAAGTTAAAGGAATTTTATGTGAAGCACCTAATCCCTTCAATTGTGAATGACCTTCTATAATTAATAGTAACCTTTATTAAAATCTCACAGGTGGTAGTTTAAGCAAGAGATAAACATATATATATAGATAGCATTAAATACAATATAGCATTATACTTTTATATTTCATATTGTACATTTATACTCTATTAAAACTTTCCATGATACAAACATAAAAAATACAACATGATTTAAAATTAGTAAATAGTAGTGTTTTCAGAGTGTAATAGAAGCCACAAAAAACTTAAATGAGTCTCCTTTACATATGGAACATTTATGTTCACTAAAATGTTTTATGAAATTACATATTTTCTTACAAAAAACTATCATTCCATATCCACAGTGTCTCTTATCTCTTTGATCGATGAGGGTTGAAGATTCACCAATCCAGCACACAGTTGAAGAATTTTGTCCGAATAGCATTGACGATAAGGTGGGATGAAGTTCAGAATCTTAAAGTCCTTTAAATGGGCATTCACTCTTTCAACATGAATCCTACATCTTGCAATTGTTTTCGTCAGTTTGATTTCGGATTCGTTAAACTTCCCATTGTAAAGGAATGGGGGAATATTGACAGACACCCCAACCGGTACAACATCACTGATCAGAAACCCTTTGTCTGCAAGTATTAAATCACCAGGTTTAAAATGGTTCAATACGCCTGAATTTTTAACAATGGCTTTATCTGATGTAGAACCACGGAATAATTTGCTTACATGCGTAATAACTGCATTGGGGACAACACCAATGAGGGTCTTAAAAGAGTTCATCCCTCTATAAGTTGAATAAGTCATTCTTTGCTCACTCATTAAGCCAGGGGCAGCTATTTCCAAATCAGTACAATCAATGACCATCTTACAATTGCTAAATACTGAGAAAGATTCTGGCATTGATGTTCTGTTTTTCTCTGAGATGGTACAGTGATTAGGCAATCTTCCCACAGTAGTTTATGGAGTACATGTGTAAATGTTAAAATAA